AACCATTTGCGCAGAAAATGTAAAACAAATTGAAATTAAATTTGCAGTTAGCTGCGATCCAAACGCTTTATACTTTGGTGCCGAGACTGAAGCTAAAATTGTGACTTGCTCGAGCGTCATGGAGCTTCTGGTGGATATTCATCCTTACAGTCTGCAAAACTCGGCAACTAGAAGGGACATTCCCGTCATAGTCAAGATGCTTGACTGTAAGTTCTTGCATAAAAAGCAGTTTTAAATTTAAAAAATAAAATTTTATCAGTGCCTGATGGCTCTCAGAAGAAAGTGGTCTTTTTGGACAAGGCTCTCCCTCCATTGGAAATGACCACTTACGACAAAAAGGTTTGGGCTTGCAAAAGAGCGGTCAGAGAACTTTTTGCAGCAAGTGACATCAAAGCTTATAAGTATGACAAGCACACAAAATAGATATTTCTTGCATTTAAAAACTTCTCTGTAGCTTTTCAAACCTTGATGAAATTGAGCTGAACAAAGAGAAAGACAAAGGAGATGAAGAAGAAGAAGCATCGGATGATGAAGAAATTCAGAATGCACAGGAGGAAGATTTCCCCTTAATGCCGCCACCAAATGCAAATATTGTTTACGGATTGTACAGCATCGAAGAACGCGGACACAGTGTCCGCCCAATTAACCTTGTAGTAAGGTCTAGTTACCACGCCTATGAGGTGATGACTTGCTTCTGTTTTTAAATAATGAAGCAAAACATGATTATTATTTTGTAGATCAAAAGTGGCAGCGATGAGAAAAATTATTTGCATTTCTCGGTGAAGTTAGAGGAGCAGCCCGAATACGGCGCTCAGTGCACGACGATCAGCGAAGTTTCTCGAGAGTGGATGGCCTTGTCGCTGCGCAAAGGATCAATGCTATGCAGAGGTGCGACCAGTCTCTTTAATTGCATTCTTTTTACATCAAAAAAATAATTAACTATGTGACCACCCACTTCTTTTTAAATATTTATGGCAAGACTGTTTTGGAAAATAATGTGTCAATTAATTTTTCTTTTTATTATATAAATTATTTATATATTGTATTAAATAAATAATCAATAATTGGATTTCAGTGCGCGTGGATGCCAAGACACTGCAAGTAATTCAGGTGCAGAAAATGAGAATGAAGGCGCTGAAGCAAGAGTGCAAATCTCGTGGAATGCACATCAACTTCCGAGCGGCCACTTTGCATCATGTTTTTAGCGAGCTGACGGAACTGGAGCCCGGCAGCTACATTTTGCAACTGATCCCCATCGAGGGTGTGGCCCGTCTACTCGAACATGACACCACAGACACAAACCTCCGGGGGTATTTTTAAGTCTTCAATTTATTCCTCCAGTTGATTATTGAATTAAAAATTACAGGGGCAGCTTCTACAACCTCCACTTGCATTTCCACAAGTCAAACCACCTGATCGGCCCCACGAGTCACATTCCATACTCTCTGATTGACCCTTTGGTGGCCACTCCATATCATGTGGAGCATAACAGGGTGCCAGCCACTTTTGAGCCAAAAATCGGATTCCCATCTAATCCCATTAATCCTCATATTGGGTTTGTATTTAAATATAATATTTTTTTTTCTTTAATTTCTTTTTTAAAATAGCAATCCTGAACAACTTGTGGCGACGACTGAGCCGACTGAAGAGGGTAATGAAGATGGCTTAGATTTGGATTTTCACATCAGTGATAATGAGAGCTTGGAAGAGTGGATGGCTGAAAATGAAACCAGAAACTGTGCAAAACTCCTTGAGGAGGCACTTGGGGATACGCTTAAGGAAGCGCTTGATCAAGTTGAAACCGAAGAGCAAGTGGAAAAACAGCCCGATTCACCTGAAAAACTCGTGACAAATGAAGAGGATGCCGACATCATGCGCATCATCATGGAGATGCGAGTAAACTCTCCAATTTCGCACTTGGGCTCTTACATGGGCAGCAGTGTTGCTGGTCAAGCAGCTGCTGCTTCTCATCTTACGTTCAATTAAAGGTATTTCTCATTTAGCCTCTAAAAACTTTTAAAACTGGTAAATAGTAAAATAGGAAAGAAAATAATGAAGGTTTCCTCTAGTTTTTGGTTAAAGATTGCATTGTTAGGTTTATGCTAATGAGTTGAATTTCAAGAGAAACGCGACCTTTTAGACCTTCCTTCCTTCCTGTAGCATATTATTTTACTTGGCGCCGTTTCCGTTCTCGAGGAGAAATAACGTGTTGCGCGCGAGCATAAGTCTCGGCATTTACCACAGCCAGGGTCATTCGCTGGCTTTTTGAATTACTCGGATCAAAACAAAGAGAGAAACTGGGCCGCGGCTTGCAAACTATTGCATTTTTTCGTGATCCACGCTGGCCACTGATGAGGAAAATTCGACCTCGCACTAGCCAAATAAGAGAGCGGTCTAATTATCGCGCCCAAACACCCGAGGCTCGACTGCAGTTTCATTAATGATTTCACGCACTCCAGATCGGATTTCGCTTTCAGACTTTTATTGTTATACACGTGCATAACTTTCTACTTCATTGTTATGGAAATAAAATTAAAAATGCGCACCGGTAGCAATGATGTGGATAAAAAAGATAAAAAGCGATCAACTTATTCAGAAGCAACCAAGCTGAAATGCAGTCGTGAGGATGCAGTCTTTTTAAAGAGTCATGTTAATCCAGGCGAAAAGTTGTTTTGTTTCGCTTTTGCATAAAACATCCGAAGCAAGAAAAGATGAACAGAGAAAGATCACTAAATAAAATGAAAAAAACGGTGCTTTTTTCTCTTTCGTTTTTTTCTTATAGGATAAATTATTGGAGCTCTTGAGCCGCAGCCATTACGATAGGTATATCATTATTTCTATTATTTGTACCTCGAAAATCCAAGGTCCTTGCTTTCCCTGTGTTGCTTTTATTTTCTCGGAAATTTTCCCATGACTGCAGCTCGCTTGAAAAAATATTTTAATTGAAAGTCGGGAGAAAAACGTTTGCATTCAACCTCACATTTTGGGACCGCATTTATATATATTTCTACGTTTTTGGTGCGGCGCGAACAAGCCAATTCATCTCTCGAGCGAGACTCATCCGCAGGCTTGTTTGCCTACTTTCTTCCTCGCAGCATCTTCACGTCAAATACATCCAGTTTTTACTTTCCATCGTCAAGCGTCGACTCAGAACCGCGTGTCAAGGACATCCCACTTGCGGTCATAATGAAAAAGCTGGAATTATTGATGGAATCGATTTTTTTTAATTTTATTATTCATTTAAAACAAATTTTATTTTTAAATAATTGGTGGGGAATTTGGATGTGTATTATTTTCTACAGAGGTGAAAATTAAGTGAGAGGTTTGATTTAAATCGGAGCGGATAAATTATCGCTCTGCCCGTCATTCAAGCATATTTGCCGGATCACGATTTGTAATTACGCTTCAAATTGTACCTACTTGTAGAAGCTTCTCCACACACAATTAGATCTCACTGTGCTTTAGAAACTCTCGTTGCTCTCTTTAAATCAAGTGTGTGCCCGGCCGGCTGTGATAATTTGTATTAATATGAGCGCGCGCGTTTACAGCCTGTGCCAATCGCTTCCGATGTCGGGCACGCCGGAGAGAAATTTATTTCATACACGTGCGTTGCGCTTATTTGAGAAGTGTATAGGCCTTTGGGGAAAGGTGGCCGCAGAGAGCTTTTATAATGCGTTCACAACTAGATGCCGGATTGCGAGCAAACAAAGCGTGTCCGTGGGCAATAATTATGCAACTTGTAATTACTGCACCTCACTTTTCCAGTTTTATTGTATTAAATTTTATTTTCATTCATTTATCGCGTGAGAAATACAGGAAGCATATTATAATTTATAAGTAATTCCTTTTTTTTTTAATTTTACGGAAGAAAAAGGTTAACAAAAATTATGGTTATATTTATAATTAATTAAACTGTTAAACAAATAAGTAGAATAAAAAATTATTCCAAAAAAAGTAAAAATAATTTTTTCATAATCAATAATTTTCGATAAATATTTTTTTTCTTTTTTGCAATTAGTTTTTTCTTTTGAGTGCTTAATGAGCTTAGTCCAACGTACCCCAATTGGCTCATAAAGACTCCCTTTAAATAAGTTTTATTTCCTCACCGCTGGATGTTACATGGCTAGGGAATTCTCGTGAATTGCATCAGCACATACCTATTGTATTGATTGAGCTATAGTGCCGGATGTTGAGCAAACACCGCTTATTGGGCAGTTCTCGAATGCACAAACTTTTGTGTTTTGCAAGCTGAGAAGCATTCACTTGAATCAATTTTACTGCCATGCGGAAATAAATTATTAATGCGTTCAAATTCGTTTTAAAAATATTATTTTTTACATTGAATTCATATTAAATTATAAAATTCAACGGAGGCAGATACGGTCGTTTTGATCCCAAAATTTAAATTTAATTCTTGCCAGTTTGGCCCAACAATTTCTTTTATTTTAAATAGATTTTTCACTAATTGAATATTGATTGCACGAATAAAAAATAATGGGAAAAAAAAGATATTCTTCAATTTGTTTTGAAAAAAAAATACTCTTATTTTGGCACAGTCAACTCAAGTTTTTACAACAATAGGAGCCATTTTTTTGCAATTATTTGCAGTCTATCAATGTCAATAATGAGTCTTAAGGTTATAAACAAATGTCTTATTTTCCTCGCTTTTATTGACTTGATATATAAAAATAGTTTTTTTTTCCAGAACTTTATACGCTTTGTGAAATAAAATCCATCTAATTTTATCGCTCACATTCAATAGGAAAAGGGTACTTTTTGATCGTGCCTTGAATATTAGATTTGACATTTCGCCCCTCTCTTCGTAAAGGCCACAAAACCTGCGCTCGTAATATGCAATCGTGCCGGATTATTTTCTCTTTCACATATACCATCGCCGAGCTCAAAATGTGTCTGTTTCTTAAGAGCTCTACCTGAGCGGATTAACAAGGAAAAAAGCACATATATCAAAAATAAGGTTGGCTGGTCGCGTGGTCACTCACCTTGTTGCTGGAATGTGGGTGTCGCAAACACCGCCAGTATCACAAAAAGCACTAAACTGCTCGATGACCGCCGCATTTTGGTCTTTTCTTCTAAAGTCAAGTGAAAAGGCCGAAATGCATTTAACACGAGTTTGCAAAAATTATCAATGATACGGTCACTGTTCGGCACCACTTCACGAGGAAACACAAATCCTTTTAAAAAAAATCGTTTCTTGCGCTCTCACGCTGTATCCGTTTTTCAGGTGTGCAAAAGTCGGTGCATCGCTTCCTCACGGCAGATGTGCTCCGAGCCCTCTCAGGTGCTACTAACCTGCCACTCCGCCGCAAGTTACTTTCTGCCCGTAAGAAAAAGAGAAAGCCTCCTGTTTACTACTGCCGCCTTTGCGTGACGTCACAACCTGAGAAACTCCACCGTGGCCTACAGAGGGCCTTTCAGTACAGCCTTTATAATAAGGTTGAACCAAAAAGCATCCAAATGAAATTATCAATTGTATTGTTACTTAACTTTGAAGAAAGTTCATCACATATTTACATTGAGAAGTCTTCTTTAAACTATTCCAAAGTTGAAATTATTAGTGAATAGATTTTTGTACCACACATGGATTATTTTGTTTCATAAATGGATTTCACATCTGCAGGTTTTCATAATAAAATCTGGTTAATATACAAATCAAATTATTTTTACTTATCCGAAAACCTTAGCATATTTGCATTTGAGTTGGAAATGTGTTGAAATTAAAAATTGTTGAATGAAGTTTTCTGTTAATATTTATTTGCTTAATTGCTACACACAGAGTAATTTAACCGTCCTGCTAGAATCAAAACAGTTTCCTGTTTTCACCCTATTTTGATTATAAAACATTTTTAGCTTTAAAAAAATTGTTAGCGAACCGACAACACACATTCACAGAACAAATACTGCTCACATTCTGCTGACGACTTGCGCAAAACAAGACTTATTCAATATCAACTGATACTTTACAACTGAAAATATTCGCTTTCATGAATATTCACGATAAGTTTTACCTCTTTGATAAGAGTGTGCTGCACGAGGGGACACTTAAAATGTTTGATTCTGTTAAAAAACATTGATTTGATTGTTCCTCTAAACAGACCGATCCTTTCCACCACAATTTTCTACACAGTTAATCTGAGTTAATCAATAATTATACTTATTATTGATAAAGTAATAATACTATTCAGGCTAAACTGGGATATTACACAGCCTTTTCTTATGCGATGTATGCATGCAAAAAATTAATCGATTGCTGTCTGACACATAAAGTATTCTAATCCCAACGGATTTTAGCTTATTTTGATCACAAGGGTTACTTTTACACTCACCCTTTTGGGGGATGGCGACTGAGGGAGGAGTGCTGTGACAACGACTCAAAGATTCTTGTTCAGGAACGCCAGCAGCTTTGTTTCGTAGTGCTTGCTCGCGTCCACACTCCTTAGACTGTGCCTCTCATTGGGATAAACCTTAAATTCAATTGATTCAGTTTATTCCTAATTTAAAATCATCCCAGCTCACCTGCAGCTGATATGGCTTTCCGGCTTTCACGAGAGCATTTATGAGCATGCTCGTGTGTTGAAAATGGACATTCTCGTCCAGCAGTCCATGGATTATAAGCAGTCGATCTTCCCTGTAATATATTCTCAATGAAATCTATTTGGAAAAAATTAATTCTCTCGACTTACTCATCGGGAAATTGATTGATGTAATGGAGAACGCATCCGGACCTGTAGCCAAGTACGTTGCTCTCGGGAAGACCCATGTACCTTTCCGTGTAGCCAGTGTCGTAGAAACTCCACGAAGTCACTGGGGCGCCAGCAATTGAAACCTGATTGTAACAATAATTAAGAATGGTTGCTTTAAAAAGGTCAGGATTGGATGGCAACCTTAAAAACGTCTGGGTAGAGAGCAAGGCCTAGGAGACTCATATAGCCTCCATATGACCAGCCATGAATTGCCACTCTGTCCATGTCAATGAATCCAAGAACATTTGCTAGACCTCGGAGCACTTCCACTTGATCGGCCAATTCAACGGTTCCCTGAATTATAATAATTTAGAGACAAAATCAATAAATTGGCTTCGATTTACCATTCTGTGGTGAAGGTGACTTTCAAACTTGATGCCTCTGTGTAGGGAGCCTCGGGAGTCGATGGCGAGGACACAATAGCCCCTTGCTGCCAACATGTGCATCCGCAGGTGTCGCATTCCTTTGAACGAGTTTGAAACTAATTGTACTTCGGGGCCGCCGTAAACGTTCAGCACAGTAGGATACTGCTTGTCAGGCTCAAAACCGCTCGGCTTGAAAACCATGGCATACAAAGTCTCACCAGACTTCAGCTGGTGCGTCAGGATTTCAGGACAGTGACAGTCGACATCAGGAACTTAAGATCAGTTTCAATTATACTCACTTAAATTATAAATTTCAACTCACATGAGGGCTCAAGCAAATAGCCGACAGGACTCAAATTAACACCGTCAACAGTCCAGTCGGACAGAACTACCCTAAATACTTGGCAGGCAGGCAGCTGGCGAATGTTGCTGTACACGCCGACCACCAAAGTGCATTCCTGTTTGGAACAATAAATTATATTTCAATGGCGTGAAATTAATAATTTAAAAAAAAACCTTGTTCATCTCAATACTGTAGGAGTATCCAGGTCTGGTCAGCAACCTGATTTCGCCAGGTCTGAGCAGTGAAACAACATAAAGGTGTTTTTCTAGAGGCGACTCTCTCATGCCCATGAAGTAGACCAAGTCGTGCTCTTCGTCAACCCAAACCGATCTGGGTAGAACTTCCCAATCGCCCGACGTCAATGCGGTTCTTTTCAAAACCTTTGCTCTTTGCAAACCTGTTGAAATTTAATTTTTTTATTTGCATTCTTTGAAATTTTTATTATAAAATACCGTCAAGAGGAACTGCTTCGTCAACACAGTTAATCAGTTGCACTGTAAGTGCTACAGTAATAAGATATAGGTGCCGAAATCCAGTTTCTTCACTGGCCCATAAAAAGGTCATTTTGCCTTTGTCGTCAGAATGGAGGAAGTGCAAAATGTCATGGACATTAATCCAAACTTCAGTCGACTCGGAGTAGAGCAAGTTGACACTGACTGGAGGCAAACAGTGGGGAGAGTGATTGTGGTCTTCGTCTTCCTCAAGCCCGAAAGAGTCGACAGACACCAAAACAACGTCAAGTTTTTGTTGTCTTCTGTCCAGCAGTTGACACCAAACTCTGAATTTCAAAATAATTTCCAATCATTAACTGATTTTCACTTTATGCAGAAAACTCACTGCGTTCCGTCCGGAATCCATCCCGCTCGAACCAAATACTCGTAGTAAGGAAAGAGGCAGTTCAGACTGCGAGTGAGACTAAGGACTTTCACTTCAGTCGGCATCAAGTTGGTGCCTAGTTTGAATTGGAGCATTTTAAGCTCAGACTTGGCGTTTGCCGTGCCTGCACGAGGAAATCGCAGCTCTTCAACTGCACCCGTGGTAGGAAAACAGCAGATCTCCACCTCGGACTCGTCAACTAGCTCAAACAAGAGGCGGTAACAACCAGGCGACGTTTGCTTTGGTTGCCACCAGTAGCCTTGATATCGATTGAACTCCTCCTGCATCACATAGCTCGGAGAACCTGCACTCAAGGGGTCGTCAATCAAGTTATACGGTGGGCCTTTGTGAAAGTTTGTAAGACGCATCGAGCTCCCTGAAAATAATTTCAATTCATTAACATGCATTTTTCTTCTTTGATATGCAAAAGGAATAAAAAGTAAAGGTTTAAGCACCTGTCAAGCTGTGAGTAACCCAAATGTCATTGTTGCACACAAAAGCAACTAAGTCGGGGTTTGAGGGACAGATCTGCGGGCTCATTTTTGTTTGATTCATATTTGGGTCCAGTTCACTCGGGCAAAGTGCGCCCACCTGAAAAATGGGTTTAAAATTTATTAAATAAAGAATAATTTTATTAATCTTCTGACATTTTGTGCGATGTCCAAACATTGGTAGAGTCTGCTAGCGACAGGAAAGACAATTCGGCCACTCTCGGCATGCAGTTCGTAAGAAGTGAGGCCCCAGGTGGCGAGGCGCTTTCTCTCCCAAAGCAGCTGTTCCTCTCTGGACAGCCGACCACCACTGGTCAGTGACTGGAAATTGGCCTCTAAAACGGGGTGCCAGTGCAGAAGACTGAAAAATTCAGAGTTTTACTTAATCGAACGGGTTTGTGGGAAAAAAATAAACCTTCGATTCGACTCTGCCTCTCCAAGGGCGGGTATGTCTGTGGCGAGCAGAGTCGACTCCCAGGCAGTGCTGGGCGGCGCGCCCAAAAAGTAGATCCTGGTTTTGCCAGTGCTCGGGATATTCCTAAAGGCCAACGAACTGGGCAACATGCTAGCTAACGAGGACAGCTGTCTTCGCAGTTCACAAACTTCAGAGAAGATTTCGGACCAGGACGGAAAGACCGACTCGCGCGAACTCGAGGTCAGCGAGTGGTCCTTTCCAGGAGAGGAGTGCTGGTCTTCGTCCATGTTAAGAGAGAGGCGCCTGGACAAAAATTTGTCAGAATGGAATAAAAAGAAGTAAAAATTACAAACCTCTGGGACTAAATTTTAGAGCAAAATCACAAGAGTCATGGGCATGTCTCCAGTCAGATTATTCTGCGAACATTTGTGCTTGAGTTAATATCAAACAATTTTTAAACTTGTTGAACGAAACTAAACATAAAGACATGAATACACAATCAAATTGTCAAGACTAATCGTTTGTTGACAAAAATATGCCCGCTCGATTGACAATGCGTGCATGATTTTAATAATATTCTCGCTCAAATGAATGAATTTGGTGCGCTGGAAAAAATAAAGCACTCACTTGGAATACAAATGAAGGTTTTTTAAAAGAGTTGGCAGCGATTTGCCTCTTAAAAGAGCCGAAATTAATTCATTGTTTTCGGACAGAGACTTGAAGAATTGCGAGAGCAGCAGAAGAAATTTTGCACCTGACGAGAGGTTTTGTTTTGAGGTCGGCTGATGGGTGCGCACGGTGGCCATATTTGTGGGGATTGCGCGCGAAAAAAGTGCCCGCGAACTCTCCACGTGTTAATTATACACAAAACACATGATAAGGGTATCTCTACTGTTGAAGATACGTTCAAACATTAATTAAATAAATAAAATTTAATCAAACTAGAAAATTTGCATAATTCAATAATATATTGAAAAAATGACATTATATTTTATGTTAAACTCTGTCAATTATTTCCGTTCAAATGTCTCAAAATTAAAGTATTAGGTTTGCGGTTTACCCAGTTTTTTCACGATTTATAAAACTAGCACGGATACTTAATAAAACTTTCACCAAAACTGCCATTCATTTATAATTATATATCAAGATTATTCTAGTAGGTCACCACATCAATAAAGCCACGAGCCACGAGGCCCTGCAGCAAGCATTTGTTTTGAAAAATAAATTGAAAACGTCAGAAAAAAATTAATCTTAATCTTTCAAGTCTTAAAGTATTTTATTTAATAAATTATAGTTTTTGTTTCGTGTTCAAAAATTGCAACATTACACAATCAATTTAATTGATTTTTATATTAAGTACTGCCTCCTTCAAAGTCGAGGGGTCGAATTTTCATTTCCGTGTGTGCCAAGCTGTAATCATCTCTCCACTTCTCCCAAATGATTCCTTGGAAATCGTTGTTGCCCTCTGGATCCATGAAGTACTCGCCATTCAGGTTAGCCTCAAAACAGCTGTTCAAATAAAATTATTAAATTAATTTATTAAATAAATTAAAACTTTGGTACCTATGGAACCACCATCCGCTTGCATATGTTTTAGCACATGGACAACATGCAGGTGATTCGTCGTTTGTTTTGTCGATTGTGCTAAACGGCGTTCCATTGTGCGAGCTAAAGGAATCGGACGCATTTCCAGAATAGCCGGCCACGGTGAGTCTAAAATTTGTTTTCTCAGACCCAACTCTGAATAATGAGTACTCGGCATAACTGCATGAATTAAATTAAAATTGTATCAATGTTATATTTCACTAATTTGTTAACTTACGTGAAATTGCCTTCGAAGTCTCTCAACTCGATTCGGAGCTTGACTGGTCTCTCGCCGGACGTTGCGTGGTGCAGAAAGTCGTTGCCAGCCCAAAATTCTTTCCTCAAGTCCCCGAAGCCAATTTTGTAGTCCTCCCAGGGGCGCGTGAAGTTCTCAAGTTTGCCGTAATGGCCTCGTCGTTGCACAACCGTCCATCCACCACCGTCCGTGTCCTGGTCGCAGTACAGCCAGTTTTGGGCGCCGTTGGCCTCGACTTTGTGTCCAACAGCCACGTCCTCTCCAAGCAAACTTGTGATTCCACTGTTGCCGTTGATGTCACTGCAGGACCACTGATGGAATTTTTTCGATTTACCTGAGCTTGAATGGTGAGGCGTTTTAGTGCTTACGTCCTCATAGTCAGAGTCAAGTAGGCTTGGGGACATTAAATCGGATTCGTCTTCGTTTGACATCGACTGGATTGAAATTTAATTAATTAAATATTTTCAAGAATATCAAATCTTACATTATTTTCAAAAGGACAGGTATTGTTGTAAGCGATGTGATCTAAAATTAAATCTTCCAAGTGCTCGATTTCGTGACTGGTGTTGGTCAGCAGGTCACGCATGTTTCGCAGCGTCAATTCCGTACTTTCTGAGACGGCTGAGATGCACGAGTTTGTTGCTCGAACGGTCAAGTTTTGATTTTCATCTCGGTGCTTCCGGCAGCATTCGGACCCCTACAATTTTTAGGGAAGTTATTTGATTAAAATAAATATAAAAAAAATAATGATCCAACTTGAACAGAATGTCGCAGCGTGTGGTTGGCAAGCTTCAGGAGGTGTTCTTGGCCCCTCTTGAGCTGAGCAGTCGTTTCCTCTGAACTTTTGACTGCCTTCTCGACACTCTCCAAAGCACGCCACGTCCTCCTCAAAGGAGAGGCCATGCGGCGCCAGGCCCTGCTGTCCATACCGCGGATTTCCACCTCACCCTTTAAAAGTAAACGGGCGCAATGAGTATTTTTTTATTATATATATTTAAACTCACTTCTTCAGGTAAACGGTCGAATATGACGTCAACCTTGGAGGCCACGTCTTGCAATAGAGCTTCAAGTACGGACGAAGGCGCTTGACACTTTGACGCTGCCTTTTCTGCCGTCGCGTGAGACTTTTCGTCTGCTTTTGCTTGCGCTATTAATTTGTCAACTTTTCTCTCGATTCCCTAATAATGGCAAAATAAAAGTTGAAATTATTCCAAATCAAATGAGTGCGCTTGTCACAATAATCTTGAAGGAATATCTATTTTCAGAACGCTAAAAAGTAACTTTTAGGTGAATGGAGGCTTTGAAGTATTTATTTTGATTGAAAAAGGATTTTTTCTCCGAGTTTATTTTTCCAAATATAAACAATCTAAGTTAGTTGCATGGCTAACTACATGAAATCTAGCTCAGGACGCTATAAATTAATTTTGAAGTGATTATCAGTTGCATCGGAGGCTTTAAAAGTATTTATTTTGCTATGGGAATATTGGCTTTTTTATTTTTGCTTTTGCATTTTCCACGTTTATTTTTACTTATAAAAATCATCTTGGTTAGTCGCATCGCTATCAAACATGAAATCTAGCTCAAGACGCTAAAAAGTACCTTTGAAGTGAAAAAATCAGCGGCGGCTTAGATGTATTTTATTTTTTATTAAAAAGTCGGATTTTAATGGAATTTTTGCACGTTTATATGTTTTTTCACGCAAAATCTCTGACTTGCTTCGCCAACAAACGTTAAATCTATCTAACTCAAGAAAAACATTTAACAGGGGAAAATAAGAACAATCAGATATGCAAATTTCCTTGTTTGCAAAAAGCCCACGCGCATAGCTTGCGTGAAAAATTGGCGTGTACAGGCAAAAGGTTGTGCTCCCTAAAAAGGAATCTTGCCTAGACGATTTGCAAGGGAAAGATTGCTTGGATCTATATATTTTATTTTTAAATATCCACGAGATGAAAATCAGCGAAAAATTTTATTTATATATTTTAAAATGAGGCTTTTCCATGCAAAGATTTTATAAGTAATTAAAAAAAAAAACTTGAAATGAGAAAAGGATAATTCGAATTAATAAAATTAATACCTTGAGCGTGCTGAGGACTCCTCTGGTCGCAAACTCGCCCAGGAGAGGTGTCGATGGCTCGTTATTGGCGCCGGCAGCGTTGTCGTCGATGTTCTTGGCGATGCCGCCCAAGCGAGAGTCGATCTCGTCCAGCCGGCCGGACACACGCTGCAGCTGCTCCTCCTGCGCGCCCAGCATCTGGTTCATCTTGGCGTCAAAAACTTCAAACCTTTCCTGACCTCTTTAAAATTAATTTGATTAAATTTCATCACACAAAATTGGCGGTGCTTTCACCTGCTGATGAAATCGACTTTGCGATCCAAGGCTTTGATTTGTTCGTTCCAGGCGGACACGTGCAGCTGAAACGTGTCCCAAACGTGTGCTCTCTCCTGCACCAAATTAAAACAATACAAATTTAAAGAAAAATGAAAATTTAAGCAAATGTCGCTTACTTGAAGATGCTTGACGTTGCTGTCAATGTGACCCATGAGCGTCGCAATCGCAAGAATCTTTGATTCCAACTTTCCCAAATACAACGAGTTGAATTTCTCAAGCTGAACTGAGAAGAAAGAAAATAATAATAATTATATTGAGTGTGCAAATAAAGACAATGAGAATTCATTAGTTTTTTATTTGAATGCTCATTTCATTGTCAAATAAATAAAGATGAGAAAGGAGTGTATAAAAAACTGCCTCTGATTTTCGCTGTGTGCGAAATTGAATATGAGCAACGATGATGTCACTATCTTTGACCTCTCTGCATTAAAAAAAAAACATCGTGCCGCTAACGAAACAATTTGAATTTTTATGAATAGCAAATAGCGGTATGGTTTAGACTAAAGAAACATTTCAGGCTTGAGCTCTATACTCTTTGCTTTAATTTAGTTTTAACTTTCAAATTATGGTGAATCAACCCTTGATAGAGGATTTCAACTCGGAAAAAAATTAAAATAATAAAAAACTCGTTGGAGACGTCGGCCGGAGGGCTGTGCATAAATAGCACGTAAAAGATTATACAAAAATAGAAAAATGATAAAATTTTTGAAATAAAATTATGCAAGCGCTACAACATAAGAGATGCATAAAAATTTACAAGACGGCCTTAAATTTTGTAATGGCAAATCTGAATCTTAAATTTTCATGTAATTTGTGCTCAAAGTCGCTCGATTTTATAGCCGAGGACGAAAATAGAAAGGAAAATAGTGTGTGTGTGCAAAATAATAATCTGGTGAGCCAAACCTGCTTGAAACTGTTTTTTCTGCGCGAATGTTTTTGCAAGGCGCGAGCGTGTTTACGTTATCGAATGGACCGACGGCAGTTCTTTTTTAAAGCAGAAGAGTTCGTTTGCTTGTTAGTTCTCAGCGCGCTTTCACTCCGTCTGCCCCCGCCGAACGCAAAAAAATTACTATTAAATTCGCATAATGCATGTTAATTAGGTAAAAATCAGCCACAGAAGTTTGCAGTTTTTAATTGTAGGCATTTGAGATAATTTTGATTCGTTTTAGTAGTTTTGAGAGGTTTTTAATGCGTTAATGAATATTAATAATAAATATGTTTTTTATATTTAAAAAAACCTTTGTTTGCGTAAATAATTTCTTAAGAAGTTTGAAACGCAGCACGTTTCTATACGCGCCTTTGAACTAGGTTTAATCTATGCAATGATCAATAAAAATGTCGGCGCAATATTAAATTTGTTTGTATATAATTTCGACTCTTGGTGCGGAGAGATGAGCAATAAAATCCTGGCACAAAAAGAATTCATGTATGTAACGATTGGAAGTTTGGATAAATAAACACACTAAAGAGCCGCTCGACTAGTTTTAAAACGTTTTGAAACAGTAAAAATATTGCAGCCTTGCAAATTTGAACCCAATTTACTCTTAATTGTAAAACCTTAAAATGGCTAAGTAAGATAATCTTATTGTTAAATTTTCACTTTCACAATCGGTCTTTTTTACCTTTAAATCTTCTTATCGCTTGTGTTTAAAAAATAAAAACAAAATTCAAATAAAAAATAATTGTTTTTTTTAATTGAAAGAAAAATTCTGGTGGAACTTTCAAAACTCACTATTAACATCTCTGAGGGAGCTGGACAGGGCGTCGTTGATTTGGGTGTTGCTGGCGACGGTCGAGGGCACGACGGCGGCGGTGCTCCTGCTGACCGAAGGTGAAGCGGTGCTCGTGCGAATTTCGGCGGCGGCTCTGGCCAAAAGCAGACCAAAAAGGACCAGCACCTGCAAAAGGCCTTCCATTGTATTATTACTGCTCGTCGGAGCGACGCTGTATGACTGCGCTGCTATTTTATGTTATAATGTTGATGGGCGCGAGTGGAGAGAAAAAAGGCTTCGAGTGTTTGTCTATCTGAAAGCCGCCTCTGCTTTTCTTTTTTGTTCGCGCGCCCGACGAAAAAAATTCTCTGTTTCGGTGCTGGCGTGAGTAATAAATTATATCAAAACCACACATGCATCGAATAATTTATGGACGGCTTTTATTAGCCCATTTTTTTGCGGGCCTTTCAAGCTCGTTTAATCTGCGGCATATTTTTTGTGTGTACAGACAGGGTAACCACAGACGATTTTTGCAAATAAATTGAAAATTGGGTCTAACGAATTTCTAAACCTTCAATTTTGGAATTAATATACAATAGAAATCAAGGCAATCGATTTAAAAAAAATTAATTTGATGTTTTAAATGAAAACAAAAAAATACAATTTATAGCAAAAATGGTTTAAAATTATATATTAAAATGTACCTTCAGAAATCCTTTGATCTTCATGTTCGTCTCTTTAAACTCACTTTTTATACTGTTTAAATTTTCTCATTTAAAGTTGTGTAAAAGGTACGACCGCTTTTTACGAGATAAAGAGTTATATGTTTGCATGGACTCTGTATCTCGGGAATGAACTCGAAAGAAGAGAGAACAGCATCAAAATCCAGCAGCGATGGAGCTGGACCAGGATCCCGTCGTAATCAGCGCATCTGTTCTGCGGCACAGTGGCAATCTGGCAGTGACAGCGAAAAGGCAAAAGATTGTGCGCGCCGCAGGAAAATAAAAGAAAAATCAAAGTGAAATTAGTGCTGCCATCTGTCGGGTGAAATGAGGAAATAAAAAAAATTTGTTTTAACTAAACAAAATTAATTTTCCTTTCTAAAAATGACTTAATTTTTATATTTTTAGCATTAATAAGAAGAAGACATAATTAAAATTAGCATAAAACATCAGTTTTGACTGAAATTAACTTGAATTATTTTTATCATGTTGGCACTTCTTCAACTTTCTTTCTTTCGAGTTGTCCACCGCCTGTTTCCACGTTGGACGAAAAATGGCCGGTGCAAGAAGCCTTCTGTCAGTCCTGCTGGCCGTGTGCGCCGTTTCCTGGACGAGTGCCGACTCCTGCGGCAAACCCGAGGTGTCGGCCACTTCGTACACGACGCAGGACGCGACCGTGCTCACCAATATCGCCTACGTGGCCGAATTCTCGCTGAAATGCTCAAACGCCATCAAGGGTCTGCCCCTGTACGCCGAGGTCAACGGCAAGATTCTGCCTGCTGCCAGGACCAGCGACGACAACCACTATCAGGTACCACCCTCCGTCATCAGGGAAAATGAATTTTATCAAATTCATCGACAAATTGATCCAGTTTATCTTATAAAAGTCTTCAAAACCATTCACAAAATCCCCCCATCAGATGTACACACCCCCCCTTAACTTTTAAAATTGAATTAAAAAAGAAAAACGAAATTTTCTTCCAATTCCAAAAAACGTTTTTTTTTTTTAAAAAAATTTAATAATTAATTGAATAATAATAATAATTTAACAAATTTTTGAATGGGAAAATTAAAATATTAATTTACAATTTGACATTTTTTTTCAGGTGAGCTGGACTGAAGAGGTGAAGAAGGCTCGCAGTGGCAACTTCAACATCAATCTTTTTGACGAAGAAGGCTATGCTGCCCTGCGCAAGGCCATTCGCAGCGGAGACGATCTGGGCTCGGTGAAGCCCCTCGTGAGTGTCCTGCTGAACCACCCTGGCTCCTATCAGGGCCCTTGGGTCAATTCAGAGTTCATGGCCGCTGCCCTGGCCGTGGTGGTCTGGTATTGTGCCTACACCTTCAGGAACAAGCTGCTGTACTGAAAACTCGAAAGAATTCCGAAAATCTGAAGGGCGTTCAACGACGTTGATGTATGGGCCGAGTGCGTGGGATGATTTTTTTGTATGATCAATAAATCTAATTATTGTTTTCAAAAAAAAAAAAAAAAACGTGGCGTCATTTTTATTTGGAGAAATGAAAATTCCATCCAGAAATGTTAAGTTTTAAGTAATATTTAATTGAATCTTTTTTAAAATTACTCGTCGATGATGTACATGATCACATTGAAACATCTGATTAATCTTAAGACCTCGCCTGATATGAGGATCTTATACACTTTGACAAATGACAGGTCGTACTAACTGAGATCATAATTTAAAAAGCTATAATCACTTCAAATGCAGAATAATTGATGCAGAAAACTTAAAAGACCCCGAGGGTGATTCATCCTCGTTGAATTTAATTAAGTAGAATATCTATCGTAAAATAAAATTCTGAGCAGTTTGTCCGGCAGACTTATTATATAAAAAATAATATTAACCAGAATAATCTAATTTGCCCACTAAACACATAAGCTAACTGAGTAGTGCGTAATGTCAGTGACTGACAGCACAGGTAACAATCACATTAACATTTCTTGCATGGCAACCCACATTTGAGCAAAAGTCATTAGGGAACCAGCCGAAGAATAAGAATAACGAGAAGAGTGATGAGCAACCTTGAATCGCCAGGACTGGTCGCAGAACATGTCAATTCGTCCTGCTGAGTTTGGTACTTGGATAACGAATTGATCGGAGGCTTGCAGCTGGCGCCGACACTCTGGAGTTCATCCTGTACAGAAATTTAATTTGTAAATAAATGTTTAAAAAAAAATGCTTAATTATATAATAAAATTCCAACATTGTGATGCAAGATAATTTAAATTGGCTTACTTCGCACAGCTCCTCGCAGCTTGGGCACACAAGGGCTCCAACGTGCAGCCATTCGTCTGCCATTATTTTGATCGGAATTTCTTGGCCCTTGTGGTAGCAGGTGTAGGTGTAATTGGCCACAATGACGTTGATGCGACCTCCGTGGCAATTGTATTTGTAGCAACCGGAGCCCCAGTGCTGCCACAGTCGGACCTGCCGACAGGTGCGCTCCTCCCACATTGACCCTGTGTGATCGAAACAACGAGACCCTTCACCGTAGCTTTCAAGGGCAAAGTTCTTTTCCGGCTCTAAAAATACAATTTAAGCAGAAAGTTTCTTATTTTAGATTTATCATACGGGGATTATTTTCCTCAAAGTAACAATGGGATCCTCGGACGACCACATTTTTCGCGCGCCACGAAAACTCTTGAATGTAAGGACAGTAATCAGCCAAAGCTACGGAACCTCCGTATTTCCCTTCGGACCCTTGACTTATGTGAGGAATTGCGTCGAAATTCTGAGAAAAAAATTATGTTATTGAAGCATAGGAATTTAGTCGAAACAAACCTGGTATTTTGTCGGTAAATACCCCGAGTGCTCAACCAAATTGCAGAGGGCAACAGAACTCCGGTCATCCGTGCATTCAGTTTCAAGAGGGTCTTTTTTCACTTTATTGCAGTACGGGTGGATAGAAAGTCCGCTGCAGAAATAAATTATTTTAATTTTGCACAGCCGTATTTTTGATAGACTTACAGCTTCACTCTCTTGTCCATCCACTCTTTGCAAGACTTCTGTGCAAAGTCGCAGCCCAAATCTTTGCCCCAACTCAGCACTTGGGCCATGGAATAATTGGCTCGATACCAGCCCGTGTCCTCCATCAACGCAAGAGTTATGCGCGAATAGACTGGATTTTGAGTGTGAGTCCCAGTCATGGCTTCGTTCTGTTTAAAACAAGAGTAAATATTTTTTTTCGTCCACACAAGCTGCTGCAATCACCTCAAAGACTCTTTTCTCCCAATGGGTCATTGCGGTACCTTCCTCGCCCTGGTCCTCCAGTTCAGCTCCTTCCAAACTGTCACAGCCAAAGTGCCTTCGGACTTCCTCCACAACTTTCGGTAGAACGACCATCTGCACCATTCTCGTAATATTCCCTCCTCTCACTTTCCAATCTTTCCTCGTCAACGTCCTGATGACCTTTTCACTCCACTGTCTTGTCTGAAGCCTGTTAATATAGATTAATTAAACGTTTTTCCAACTGATATGTAAAAAATACGCACTTTTCATTTAATACTAGTTTGCCGTTGTCTATTCTTGGAGTTAATGGATTTCCGTCCGAATCTCGATAAAATGCGTACAAACTACTCGAGAAGCCGAGAGCATGGAGAATTTCATGTTTGACCGTCGACAGCAAAATCTCCAGTTCTTGGGGTTTTGTGCTAATGCTGTCCGGACACAGGTTGGCATGACCGGCAATTGGCCTGAAAACAAATGAGATCAAAAGATGAATTAGGTCCTCAAATTTGGCAGAAATTCAAAATTTCACCTGTCAAGTGCGGCCTCCTGTTGGCAATGAGCCGCGTAGGCCACGGTCATTCCCTTGTGACACCTTTCCGTCTCCATCGCGGACACGTAGAAAACAAAGTCGGCATTGGCGATTCCAGGACCTGCCGTACTGCCAGCGACCTCTCCACACTTTTGCCCTGTGGCGTTGCACGCGCGACAAACCTGCGGAAGATCGTAAATTTTTTAAGCACATAAAAGGGAAATTCGTGCTCACGTCGAGGTGCGACTCGGGCACTTGCACTTCGCCACACATGGTTCTCGACTCGCAGGCGTTTTTGCAGTAAACATGCGGCTCGCCTTTCCTGAAGAAAACTTGGTTGTTTTCACACTTTCTGCGAAGGTTGTGAACACAAAATATTAGAGACTGTCGGTGAGATTTAGCACATTTTGACTCACCTGTTTAGTCTAATTACATTGGCAGTCTTCCTCACCATGAGCGCCTGCTCCCAAAAGTGAACAGCCTCTGGTAATATTGTATTCTGTTGGACAGAAAAATGCGTTTTAATACAATTAATAATTTTCTGGTTTAAAAATACTCACATTAATTAACTCGAATTTCTCTCGATCAAGTCTGCAACACAGGAATGGAACAAAATTAATTGCAAAGGGTATAAAAAAATGAAGAGAAATGAGGAAAAACTTAATTTCACTGGTGCAAAGAAAACTTGCATAATTAATAATTATTACGAAGCGGTCATTCAAGGAAACACTTCTGGAGATTTTCTTTGTTCAGCAGAAACAGTTTCACTTGACTTGAATAGTGAGAATTTGAGGCTATTAAAACTCTCCAAGATAGCCCCTGAGGTTAAACAAATTTATGAGCTTCTCCTTTCGACGACGGGCGACGTTTGTGCATAATCTTGCTAAGTGTCTTGTGAGAGAGTTTCGAAAATACTTTTGCGGCGTTTTTATAGATTCGAGGAAAGATTGGAGGTGGTGCACCCGGAAATCAAATAATATTAACATCTTTATTACTTTCAATTTGAACTTCAAATAAAAAATAATTAATTATATCTTGAAAATTATGACATATTATTGTTAGTATTGGCTAATTTTGATAAAATAAATATATATTTTAGAAAATTCCCATAAGAAACAATGTTTCTAAAATTCAGTTCTTGCAATAAATTCAATTTTTTTTTTACTACTTTTTGTCTCCTTGGAAATGATATAAAATAAAACCAATTTAAAATTTATTATCAAAATTAATCAGCCCGTTTTTTGCTACAGCCTCATTTTAAAAGTTTATATTAATTAATTTATTAAGTTTTTTTCTACGTGCATTATATAAACTATGAGCTAAAATAACTTTCCAGCAGAATAAATAATTGAGTAATACAATCTAATGATTTCAAGTGAAAAATACTTAAGGTTGGCAAATTAGTGAAAATTGGCAAGCCCAATTTACGACCGCCTCGTTCGTTCAATTTCTTTCAACTTTATTGCACCGACATTGGCATAAAACGAGATAATTGGCGGAGAGATAAATGAAGAACTGCCAATATCGGAAATGATCAGAAGCGGCAAGGCAAGACATTTCAGGCTCCATTTAACGCAAGACGATGGATTCGGCTCAAGAGCAGTAAAAAAATAAGAATTTAAGTCACGCCGAAGCAAAAAAAATCTGTAACACCGGCGAACGCAATTTCTTCTTTTCATCAGGAAATAAAAAGCGAGAGAGAAAACGTTTTCATGCTTCCATTCATTATATTTTATGCAGGCGGTTTCGCAACGAAATGAGAATTCGTGCACATCTCTGGATGCGCAATAGTTGTTGTTTTGCACCTACCGAAAGAAAGATCATCAAAATAATAACAAAAGTGCCCTTTGAAAGGAGCGCGCATCACCTCTGGAGAAATTTAAATGGCAAGTGGGTGCCGCGATTCGTGATTCAATTACAATTGAGGTTTGGTTCACAATCAGAATCACACGGTCTCACAGCGTATAATAAAAAATAGATTTTCTTTCACTTAGGAATCAAAAGCATAATCGAAATAATCTTTAAAAAATTCTAGCTCGACAGGAAAAATATAACGATTTTATCTTAACAAAATTTCATAGCAACAATAAAAAAGATTTTTTTTTATTTATCAATGGAAAATAGATCACAAGAAAAATAAAAAATTATCTTTAATTTTATTCGCTATAATAAAAGTTTAACCGGTTTTAACGTTCTTTATTTAAATTTTTTCATTGATAGTGACAATGTATAAAAATTGTATGCATTATTTGGTTTATTATTTCTAATGAAGTATTTTTCTAATTGTTTGCATTTTTGTTGTTTTATATATTAACTGACATATAATTATTTTCAATAATTCAGGGCAATCAAGTTCTCAATAAAAATTTCGGACAAATAAACACTAATAACATGTAAAATTTATAATGGTAAAATAAATTTGTGACCCAATTGAAATTCAAGTCATGGTTGTGAGATTAAAATTGACGGAGCCTTAGATAAAGCTGCTGTGTGAACGAGACATTTCCGAATCAGCGTCGTGAGATCGTGAGGATAAAAAGATTCCACTCTGATCTCATCTCATTGCTACGATTTATTTTTTTTTTTTCATCGAGGAGCCGCTATAGAGAATAGAAAGTGATTTGGCACGGGAGTAAAGAACTTTCAACCTTATATTCACAGTGCAGTGAGAAGGCCAAATTAATTCGCTCGCTTTCCACTTCCCAGCGGCCAACGAGAGCGCGGCTCCACTTCATTGTTTCCGTGCTCCACACGTCCAACCGTGAAACTGCCTTCGTAATCTGACATAAGAAAAGCCTCGTTTGAAATACCGACTGGGACTTTTGCATAATTGCGGAAACAGTTGTTAAAAGTTCATTTAGTACAAAATTATGTGTAATTCTTTTATTTAGCAATTCAATTTACAATTCAATTGTTTTATTTTTGTTATTGGAAATAAAATTAAGATTGAACGATTTGACGAGACGAAGGCTAGACTGGAAGTAGATTTCGTAATCACACTAGGCCAAGGATTATAGAAAGAGATAATCCGCTGTAATCGTGATAACTGATAATGAAAATTTCGTCCGTGAACAATAAAATTGCCGGAGTTTGTCACACGTGAATTGTTCTTCACGATCCTTCTCATTCAATTTACTGGGTGAGCGTAAATCAGGCAGAGCCAAAGATCAATTTTTTCCGTTTTGTAATCGTGAAATAATGAAGCATGACTATTTCCATCATCACGATCAAAATTTACATGAAAATATTTTGGTGAACCGCTCATAAAATAAATCATTGTTTAGAAAAATTTCTTTTCAGTTCTAATTTTTTCACCAAATAATTTTTACAAAAATATGGCAATTACATTTGGATTTTTTTACAGATTTAATTTTGGTCAGAATATAGAACCGTGTGTTTTGAGCGAACCTTTCCCACTGGAGGTTGAGAGATGAATAAATTATTTTTCATTTTCAAATTTCTTTTTTATTTTGTGACAAAATTATAACCATAAACAATTTTACTAAAAAAAAATTATTATTTTGATGACAAAACTTGCTAAAATTAATTTTTGTGATAATTTTTGTCAAAATAATTTCACAACTCAAGAATTATGGCAGCCAAAACTTGTAGAGTAGGATATTGTTTTTCTAAAACAATAAAAAACTCATAAAAGAAAAATGAAAATGATTTAAAAATAATGTTCTATTTATCTACATAATATATGATTTTCTAAAAGAAAAAGAGCTGCATTAGTATCAGCAGTCCATGACCAGCACTTTTCTCTCTCTCACAAACCCACTTTATCCGACTGACACGTCCACGTCATTTTATTGCGATCGCCGCTATAACGCGTGCCAGTTTCTTTGTTGTAAAAACACGAGCAAAATTACTACTGTTCATACCTGTAAACGCTCTCGTCGTAGTACAAAAGTATCCTCAGAGGCTGGTCCAGACTTCTTTTCCTAATTATGTGACCCTCCTCCAAGTGCACTCCACGAACAACCTGCAAAAACGCCCAAATATTGTATTTAGTTTTTCATAATTCACTAATAATTATTACGAGCAGTTTTTGTAAATTGATGTATTTTTATTAGAAAACAAAATTTATTGAGAATTGCAATGGTCTTTGAGAAGAAAAAATTGGAAAGCTAATGTAAACAAAATGACAAAGGAGTATAAAAATAGCGTCCTCTTTTTGACCACTGCGCGGTGTTTGGAAAAAAACGGAAGTGGAGCACGAGTAGAAATCAACAAGCAAAACAGATGCAAAAGCTAGTCTACGTTAATTTTAGGATGTTTTGTTATTTTAATATATCTTAATTGAAAATAGATAATTAAACGGAATTTTATTGTCAAAAAATGTTTTCATCAAAAAACAAAACGGCTCTACCAGTTTCAGTCACAATCTGCGACCCTATTTAATGAGAAAGAAAAATACAATTTATTAGTTTTAATTTTGAGTGTTTTGCTATATAAAAAGTGTAGTTTTTAAATTTTCTGATTTTATTTTTTTTATTTTTCTTGCTTACGAAATAGCTAACCGTGACCGAAACGGGTAGAGCCGTTTTGTTTTTTAATAGAAACATTTTTTCACAACGAGAAAAAGGCCCGAGTTCTTCACTTCCATGATCAAGTGTCAATTTCTTCAAACAAACAAATAAATAAATAATTCAATTTTATAAAAAAAATTAAAATATTGATTTTAATAATGTTACAGAATTAATTGATCACAGTGACTTGTAAATTATAAATAATTCAGCACTAAAATAATGTGATAATTTTGAGAAAAATTATAATATTAAAAAAAGCACAGCCAAGATTTTACTCGCTGCAGTCATTCGTAAATAGGGTTAATAGCAAAAATTGACTAGCCAACGGGCAAATCTCTCCTGCGGGCCAAAAACTGTATATTTCGCCTGAATATTCACAAAGTGTATTAATCAGCGCGGCATTCAGAGCGCGTCAGCTGCAAAACGTGATGAGTCGGACAGAAGCAGAAAAAATTTGAGCATTTTTATTTTTATTGAGTGTGCACTCGAGCATTTCAACGCAGGATTAACTTTTGGGCCCGCAAGAATTTCTTGTGAATTGGAAAGTTCGGAGACGTTTCTTCTTCACCTTTGCGATTTGGGAAGCAAAATGTCACCGCAAAGTTGTAATTTATCGCGATTTAAAGACACACACTGCCTTGCCAGCTGATCGCCCACGAAACTCGAAACTGGGAGAAAGTGCAGTTATACTTTGGAGTTGCCAGCAGGGTGACTTGAGTTAATGCATTTGAATTTTTCATGAGCGCCACAAAGAAGGTGAGAGAGTACTTTCAAAAATTATCAAAAGTTGTTCGGAAAATTGTAATCAATAACAATTCAATCACGCATTTGATTTATATTTTATAGAAAAAATAAATTAAACCCAATTAAAAAGTATTTAAGGAAAAGGAAAATATTTAAAATGTAAACCAAAGAAGAAGAAAACACTTTTTTTTAACAATAGATGTGGAATAATTTCTAGACTTGGCTTTTTCACAAGATTAAAAAAAATTGCCAAAAAACAATGGATCGCTCTTTCTTCTTTTGTCCTATTCCACTTATTGTCGCATTATGTGCAAGAAGAAATAATAATGGAAGCTGAGAATTAAACAATATTTTTTTTTTTCAAAAATATATTTTATTTTTTTAAATTCGTAAATCTGGAGTTTTTCTAATTATTCTGATATCTTATAATGAAAGAAGTAAGTTTTTTGCAGTTTATTTGATTTTGATTTAAGCTAATTTATGCATTTTACGGTATAAAACTTTTGCAAAACAAGTCAAAAAGAAAGAAATTATGCTAATTATGTTAAACGATCATTTCCTCAGAAATTGGCTGGAAGTGTAATATAATTAATAAATAAATATCTTTAAAAAAATCACCTTTTTAAAATATTCAATAACATGACGTGATTGATAATAACAATTTTAATATTACAAATTTAGCTTTAAGAGCTACGGCTAAATTCAGCACCTGAATAATATTTTTCTCAATAATTTTGCTCATAATTTTCATAATTAAAATTTTCAGGTTTATATTGCTTTTCATAAGTAGCCATAATTATGGAGTGAATCTTGCAAAAACGTCTAAATTGATGTAAATAACGTTTGTGCCAGAAAATATTGCAGCAGTTAATTAGTCTGTGGCACACGCCAATTATCTCGAGCCAATCAAATACGTCCTTGCATGCAGTAAATTGATCTAGGCTTTACAAAGTAAGAAGTTTTTAGATGAGAAAAATAAATAAAATACTAAAAAAGTTGTTAAAAATTAAAATGATCAAAAATACATACAACCAAATGCTATTATGTAAAACGTTAAAAAATAATTATTATTTTTAGCATGTTACATACACAATTACATAGCTGTGGCCTTCAGATTTTAATTGGATACTTTGCAAGATTTAAATTCAAATAAATGTAATAATTAGATATAGGATTATATTTCTCACCTCTTCGTCTTTGGGGGGCACATGACTGCACGTTCTGTGTTCAAATAATGCAATTGCCGAGCCGTAGAAGAAAATCTGCATTGCCAGGAAAGTCGCTGACACCTTCCACCTGACTTTCGCAGCCATTCCTTCACCGAATACCGCCGACGGACGGCCGAATTCGTCGAAGGAAACCGCAGCTAGGGTACCTGGTGCACTTGCAAAAGTTTCTACAAAGCCGCACGGGTGCCGGAACACCTTGGGGCGAGCAGAAACAAGTAGTTGTTGTTGTTGACTGTCAAAACCATTCGACTAACTTTGTGAGCCAAAGATGAGGAGGGCGTAGCACTGCCGCAGACCGGGAGCGAGGGCCAATCAAAGACGAGCAAAGACAATGCAACCAATCAGCGATCGCGAGAAAGCCCAGCTCGACCAATCAGATTGTTTTCGTTGTCGCGAAGTTCGGCGCGTTTTTCAAATTATCTGAAGGTGTTTGGGAAAAGTGGGCGCTGGCGCTCCCCTGTCGTTGCCCTAGTCCCTTCTCCGTCCGGCCGACCAACCAGCATGCACGACACGCATTTTTGAACGTCCCGAGAGGTGATAGACCTCTCCGCGAAGGTCCCCCGCTTGCGTCAGGGTCGATATCACCGATACGCACCTATCCCATTTCTTGAAGCTCAGGTATGCGTGTGTTTCTGTGTATGTACATACAAACATAACAGAAACGACGTTCCAAGTCACCTACCGAACCAAATCCGTGAAGGTGTTTATGCGTTTGCAGGAGCCGCCTAAATTTGTCTGCGTGGCCGCTGAGGAGTCTTTTGCCTGAACTGCGGCGGAATGGACAGGATTGAAGATAACGTGAAGAGACTCCTGAATGGGGATGCCCTGAAGGAGTCGCAGGAGTTTTGTGACTTCACCCTCGAGGCGCAAAATGAAGCGACAGGTACGGATTTTAAAATTATTTAATTTCATCTTTTTTGTCCAGTTCCCTTTTAAAATTTAAAGTCAACCAATTCGAATGTGTTTCATATAAATGAAGTTCAATAATGTTTTTGGGTGGGTCCGAATATCAGAGAAACGATTCTAGAAACGATTCTTGAGAAACGTTTCTCGAGAAATGATTCTGGAGAAACGTTTCTCGAGAAACGTTTCTCGAGAAATGATTCTAGAGAAACGTTTCTTGAGAAAAGATTCTCGCGCAAAGATTCTCCAGGATCGTTTCTGCCTTTATAATTCAACTAAAGAATCGATCCTTGAGAATCCTTGCGCGAGAATCTTTTCTCGAGAAACGTTTCTCTAGAATCATTTCTCGAGAAACGTTTCTCGAGAAACGTTTCTCCAGAATCATTTCTCGAGAAACGTTTCTCAAGAATCGTTTCTCTGATATTCGGACCCACCCTTTCTATTTTTTCTAGTTGCCAAGGGCGTAGCTCCAGCCGCTCCCTCCGACTACATTCCACAATTGAACAAAAATGTTTGCTACATCGTTGCTGCTGTACTGATTAACGATTCTGGAGAAGTGCTAATGATGCAGGAAGCTAAAAGATCTTGTGCCGGACAGTGGTACCTGCCAGCCGGACATATCGAAGCTGGCGAGACAATTCAACAGGCTGTTGAAAGAGAGGCATGATATTAATATTATTGTTTTTACTGTAGAGAAGGTTAAACCATTAAGTCAATAACGCAAAAGCTTTTGTCTCAAAAACAGTAATCACTTGTTTATGGTCAGCAGCTTTTAATAAAACTATGTTAAGAATTATTTAATACCTGAAACTAATTACGTTTTTTAATTTAGGTTTTGGAGGAGACAGGATTAACAATGCAAAGCACCACCTTAATAATGGTTCAGTCGGCGGAGGGATGTTGGGTCAGGTTCGTTTTCACTGGCAATGCAGCAGGTATTTTGATCCAACAGCATAAAGTTTACCATTAACTTGCTAATCTATTTAAATTCAGGACGGCTAAAAACACCTGCTGAGGCGGATTCTGAATCGTTGCAAGCCAAGTGGATTTCTGACATCAACGAGTTGAGTCTTCGAGCATCGGACGTGGAGCCTCTTGTAGCTTGCGGACGTCAGTACTGGAGAGCCATAAAAGAAAAACAACAGTGGCATCCTGAGATTTTGCCCGTTGCCAGGCACCATACTAAATTGCTTCTAAGACTGCTAATTTGCGTTCGAAAGAAAGACACGTAAGGATTTAAAAAAGTTACCCACTTTTATTCGTTGCTCTAATGAACATAAAATTCAGAAATCGAGTTCACATCTTGCTGTCGGAAAAGACAGAAGCGCACATTCCCACTTGTGAAATTAACCCCAGGAGAAGCTTGCATTCTACACTAAAAAAATATATGATGGTAAATTTATCAAAAATCAGTGGTTACTTAATTTAAAATTTGGTTTTAATCAAACTATTTTACTCTTTCAGGAAATATTTGGAGCAGAGCTTCCGCAGCACAGACCTCATGGTGTTTTGAGTGTGGAGCATTCCCCGACTAGGAATGTTGAGGTGGAAGGTGACGGATTTTGCTTGACTTTGCTCATTTCCATCAGGCAGCCTTTAGAAGAGGTTTGAAACACTCAGAAGTCATTTAAATTAAGGAAAGCTAAGATGCATATTGATTTAGGTTGGATTGATAGACAAATACACTTGGCTTGAGGTCAACCCTAACCTGGAGGAACTCATACTTCCTAGGATGGCAAAAAACATGACTACAATTTTGCATGTCATTCGGTAGAGGATTTGTTGATTACTCCAATTTATTATTATCAAGAAAAGCTAAATACTCAAATTTTATATTAAAAAATTGTTATACAGTTGTTGCATATTGGTTAAATTTTATTGTTATATAAAACTATACTGCAAGGATGCAGAGATGGCCAAGATTAAACAATAGGAAAATACTATAGCCTCAAGCTGATAATATTGTAATCGCAATGAAGGGAATTCTAAGCTTTCTGAATATTATGCCATTACATATAAATAAAATGAAATGTTTAAAATTATAAAACATTTTGATTATAATTTCATTTTAACCTTAATAAGTAAATAAAAATTTCAAATAACAAGATAATGATAAAAGATCTGAACAGGATACCAAAATTTAAGAAAGGTGGCGTGCAGAAAAATCCAGAACCGAATTCATTGTTTTATTATATCCTTTATTTTTAAAGCACAAGATAGAGAAGATAATAACGCTACTGAAAAAGATTTTACATTACGGCTAAATTAGTTGATCTCCGCATCGAAGTGTACATATGCATCTATCCTCACTTTCAAAAATAATCATTGATGCCTATTGAGAGAAAATTTCACTATGCATATTTCACCAATTCTCCTTCCATATTGGATCATTCATGCATGCAAGATAATTAAATAATACAATTAGTTGTTTTTGCTTGAGAGAGGCAGACAAACGAAAAGCATAATCGAAATCTGACGAGCAAGAGTGACTTAATCTTATGCAGGGAAATTATTTTTCCCAAGGCATTTCTTTACATCAGGAAATTATGTTTTCAATGATATTTCAAGCTGCAGGTTTTAGGAATTGCATGCTTATGGATTTGGGATTAATCATAAAAATTTTGGCGGAAATAATTTTTGTTTACTCTTGAATAAATAAATAATAATTTTCAAAGTAACTTGAGCGCAAGAGCAATTTGTCCAGCTCTCACAAGATAATTTGCAGAATAACTACTAAAATGGGGGGAATATTATTTACCGCTATTGAAAACCACCGATGCCAGCAGTGCCACTAGTCCACATGTGCAAAAATACATACAAGCTTAAACAAAGTTACCCTGGCATTCAATTAATTGAGTAAATCATTGCAGTGGAAGTTCAAACTGAAACAGTAGAGGGGATCGTCTGGCATATAGTAATGCGCAAAAGGCATTGATTTTTGCATCAAGAAGTGAAATAAAGTAAAAACTTCACAGTGTGCCAGTCCCACTAACTGTCCATGGCGTATCTGCGTGTCCACTCCTTGGCATTCCTGATAGCTTCAGCCTCATTGACTTTCCACAGCTCGGCAACATCATTTGCAAGGGGGTCGTCCGGATTTGGCGCGCTCAGCAAAGCCTGGATGGACAACAACACCGTCCTGATCTGCAGGGCGGGACTCCACTTGTCTTTGAGAATGTCCAGGCAGATGCGGCCAAGTCGGTCAATATTGGGGTGGTAGATCTTTGTAATGAAGCGAACTTTAGGGGCAGACATTGGGTAGTCTTCCGGCAGGAAGAGTTCCAGCTTGAAAAGGCCACCCTCAAATGGAGAGTCTTCTGGCCCGGTCACTATAACGTGAAAGTAGCGAGCATTGCTTTCATCTGGCACAGCACTGATCCCGGGCACGGGCTCCTGCATGAGCCGCTGCGTTTCCTTGATGATGCGACGAGGCAAGGAACACATAGTCGCAGCGTGTTTTTGACGATGGCCTGCAACGAGAATCACACATCAATGCGGGGGTCAATGAAATGCATAGCAGGGTGCGTCGCCGATCTGGGGGTGCAGCTTACGTGTATAAGTCTAAAACCAATTAAATGGTTGTGTGCAGATTCTTGTGGGGTGTGATTTTAACGAGATTGCGGCGGAACAAGAGAGCCAGAGGATGTAATATGAACGCTCGCTGACAGGCTGACTTTAGCTTATTCGTCTTGTCGGCTCACGACTGCAACTCTCGGTCACCGGTCTGAAATTGAGGAGGAATTAGCGATTTATGAACACACTCTCTCAGACCGTCGTTGCCTTATTTCAGTGCAATGAGCTCAGCAAACTACAAATTCGGACCAGAATGCTTTTAAAAAGTGACGAATTTCCAGAAAGATTTGGAGAAATTTAACAAAGGGTGGGTGGCCAAAAGCTCCTAGATTGCAGGCGGTCTCAAAAAGGAGTCACATACAAAAAGTAAGACACCATACTTTTCTTCCAGACTATTTTCACAAAATGTAAAAAAGTATGAAATACAAAAAAAACATATTAAATTTGTTCATTATCTTACTTTTTCCTTCAGAATAAATACTTTCATTGCACAAAAATCTCAGATCGTTTTAACTCCTTTGTGTACAAAATCCATTCCCCTTCTGCGTTTCACCGGTTTCCCCTCTCCCCGTTGGACAACTAGCGCCAAACTTGCGCATAAACAACGCACAAAGAAGGAGGCGTGGCTGTTTTTTGTTGGTAAACCTGAAGTAGCTGGCAAAATGTTTTCTTCTCAAAATTAAAGCTCTGAAACTTCGCCGGTTTCTCTGCGTTTTTTGATCGCTTTTAAAAAAACATACTGTTTTAATCGGAATTCTTCGAGTGAAGAGCTCAGCGACATGTAAGTGCCGACCAATGGACCCTAAATTTGTTTTGAAAAGTTCTTTGCTTTTAAGGTCCGCTGACGGCGAAAACGTTGTTTCGTCAACGGTCGGTGTGCGTCCACGATGCTTCATGGATATCTGCATCGCTGGCCTGGACACAGGCCGAATTGTCTTTGAGCTGTTCTCGGATCGATGTCCACGAACGGTGGAAAATTTTCGCAGCTTGTGCACAGGCGAAAAAGGCATTGGCAGCTTGGGCAAGCCAATGCAATACGAAGGCACCATTTTCCACAGGGTCATCAAGGATTTTGTCGTCCAGGGTGGCGATTTCACCGAGGGTGATGGCTCTGGTGGCGAATCGATTTACGGTGGCACTTTCGAAGGTATGAACTATGAAACGCACTTTGATTGGACAATTTCAGTATTTATACATATGTATTAAAATGGTCCTTCTAAATCAGACGAGGATTTGACGGGAAAGCATGACAGGAAGTACTTGGTGAGCATGGCCAACAGAGGAAGAAACACCAATGGCTCCCAGTTTTTCATGTAAGCTTCATAAAGATTATTTTGTACATAACGATCTTATCATTAAACCAAATCATAGATTAACAGGACCGGCACCACATTTAGATGGTATTCATACAATCTTCGGTCATGTTGTATCTGGTCATGAAGTGATTGAGAAAATCAATAATCTGCCGGTTGACAATATATTCAGACCGTTGCAAGACATAAAGGTTACCAAAAGCGGAGAGTTGATACTCAGACCAAAAAAGAAGAAAGAGAAGAAGGTCAGCAGCAGCAGCAGTGAAAGCAGCGATTCTGAGAAGGAGACTGTCAGTAAGAAGAAAAAGAAAGAAAGACGCAAGAGGTGTGTGATCAATTATAATTTGTAAGAAATGGCACTCATTTTGACTTCCGCAGTGCAAGGAGTGATCCTGAGGAAGATTCTGCATTCAGAGATGAGGCAGGTGTACCCCACCCCTTGGTCACCACCTTCAACATTAAGAAGGATGAAATTCCGAGTGTGCCATCCAACAGATTTCTGTCTCGTCTTGTCGGCCGCAATCCGGAAGTGAAAACAAACATGGAAAGCAAGGCCACAAACATACGAGGTCGCACTAAAAGCGGCAGGACAGTCAAGGGAAGAGGCAATTTGGTAATCAGGTTTTTATTTAAATTTGTTCTTATCTAAAAAATATAATTTTTAGCGTTACCGTACTCCATCGCGCTCAAGATCTAGAAGTATCACTCCTCCTCACTGGCGTCAGGAACAAAGCAAAAAAATTTCTTACAAGAAATTTGAGGTTTGGCTTTAAAAGTTTTTTTCATTTTTAAAGTCATCACAATGATTATTTTTGATATTAGGAAATCGAGAAAATCAAGAAGCAGCGTGAAGATGAAATACGCAGACGAGAAGAAGAAAGGCGTAAACGTCACGCTGAAAAGGATAAAAGACCGCCTTTGCAAACTCAAAATCAAGTGTAAGGACTCATTTCAGCTTTAATAAATTTGTAGTCTAATTGCAACATAAATAATTTGCTATTTAGGCCTGAAAAGAAATCATTTGACGATGAGAAGGAAGAAGGAGAGTTGCGCGAAGATGATGAGAAAAAAGATTCGCAAAGGAGCAGGAATAAGTCGGAGAGGAAGCTCTCTGGTGACAAAAAGAGCTATCGGGCTCGTAGGTCACGGTCGCCTAAACGCAAAAGATCCCCAAACCGCAAGAAGCCGTCTCCACCAAGGCGTCGCAAGCGATCTTCTTCATCCAGTTCCAGTTCATCGTCATCATCATCCGACTCTTCTGTCGATCGTAGACGTAAGAGGAAGTGAAAATTTTCCACGACATTTGTTCCACTAGAAGTAAAAAAGCCGCTTCATAACATAATTTCACTTTACATTGTTAGATTTCAAGGTTCATGTATTTGTAAAATTAATCTATTGTGTATGTACATGACTGTATGTAAATGAATTATGGATGCTGAGTAAATTCAAGTAAATTTATGAAAGATACCAATGAAAAATACCTTTTTTCAATTGAAAAAAATATATAATGTAATATTTAATTATGAAGAAAACTCTAGTGAAGCAACGCGTCAGAATATTAGCTACAAATTATCTTATAATTAATAGATATCATGTGTTGGATTATGTATGTTTTTAATATTATTTGTTTTTTACATTTGAATTTCCCGCTAAATGCATCTCAATTCATTCAATTCGATTTGGCAACGTTTTTGATGACGTCACATTTCAACGCCATCTTTAATTATCAGAACGAGGAAAAGAAGCATCCATCTTACTTCGCTCCACATTTTCTTCAATTCTCTGCAGAAATTCTTCTTCCTGGTTGTCCCATTGTCCGATGGATTTGTAGATCGACCATTCGCCTAGACAATGACGACGACGGTGGTCGAATTGAACGGCTCTACGCCCATGATGGGCGCACCGCAGTCCGGCGCTCAGCAACAACAGCAGCCGCCGATCTATGGCAAAATTTCCCTGCAACTCACCAACTGCCTTTTGCCAGAGGAAAAGCTTTCGCCAACACCGTCCGAGCAAGATGGCCTGGACAAAGAGGTAGAAATCGACCTGCGAATCCTGGGCTGCGAACTCATCCAGACCGCAGGAATGCTGCTGAAACTTCCACAGGTATGAAATTTTGCAATCATTTACATCATAACTTCCTTGCTCAATATTGAAAGTCTAGATCTGAAATAACCGTCATTTTTCAGGTCGCGATGGCCACGGCGCAGGTTTTGTTTCAGCGCTTTTACTACTCCAAATCGTTTGTGCGCCATCCTATGGAGATTTTTGCCATGGGCTGCCTCTGCCTGGCGTCCAAAATTGAGGAGGCGCCTCGAAGGGTGCGAGACGTCATCAACGTATTCAGCCACATAAAACAAGTCGACGCTGGAAAGTAAGTTATTGCTCAAATTCAGTCCCACTTGGAGAGTTATCGGATCACGGCCGTCTGGAAATCTTTCAAGTTGAAAATTATTTTGGTCTTGATCCAGCAGGCCAGTGACCTATAGCTCTCCTGCTTGACCTATTATTGTGACTTAAGAAACTTAATTGTCTACATCATAGTTTTGCTGTTATCAAATCAAAGTTTGGACTCGATAAAGCTAAAGGTCTTAAAATTTTGACACAATTTAAGTAATGTGGTAAGGAGGAGTACTCCAGTTCATGACTGACTTCTTTTATTATATATTTTATATCATCTTCTTTTTCTACTAATAACCAAATCTTCTCGCAATTTTAGCTCCCCAACACAGAATCCTTGCCAGAGATGGTCGTGCCATTGTCTGTTCATGAAATCAGAGAGAGAAGCGAAAACTCTAATTTGGCACCTCCAACTCTGACAAGCCCTCAAATTGAAAGCTCTCATAGAATTCTTGCTCAAAGCCGTTTTACTTACTCTCCACAGATGGCCCCTCTATTGAATGTGAAAGGTCGTGGGCCACGAGCCCCACCTGCCAAGCACCATCAGATTCTGTGTGTGTGTCCTCCCAGACCACCACCAACAAACAGCAACCACACATTCAGTGGGTGGGTGTTTAGCCTCCTCCTCTCACCGCTCACCACTAGCGTGTGAAGGTGCAGCCGCCCGCATTTCACGGTTCGGTCCCCCGAGCCCCTTAACCTTCCTACAATCACTACAACCAAAAGAACCGTACGTTAAGAGTTGCTCAAGGTAAAATCGACTGCCGCAGTTGCTTTCTCAAGGGAAAACGGCTGCGGTCGGTCCATTGGTTGGTCACTTTCTACTCATTTCTGATTGTTATAAGCGTGCATTACGAGGCTGGCAAAGTGCGTCCCACTGCGGTGAGTAATTTTAGAAGGAGATGATGGACCCTGAAACGTCCCCGAGGCATTGTGGAAGCTTATGTGTATAAATCAGTGTATAAAACAAAGCAATGGCAATTTATTGTGTTATATTTTATCTCGAAAAATAATTTCAAATGTTAAAAAAAAATCACAAACTATGTACAGTAAAAGCAAAGTCAAATTAGTCTTTTATTATTGTAGGCAGGCGTTTTATTTTTCAAAGTGCCAGATAAAATGGTGGTATTATTGTAGAAGAGAGTTGTTCTTGCTTTTATTGTAACATGAGTATTTTGTGATTCTGCCATGTCTTAACTCTGATCAGTAAATGAGGAATTTCTCCTTAAAAAATCATAAAAAAAATCCTAGTCCTTTTTTTAGACTGCAAAATTATCTAAATTTCGTGTTTTCTCACTGTATCTTGTGGTTCGGGATCTGTATGAAACCTTTTAATGATAAACGATTTTTCAAATTTTTTTTAACAATGATTTTCTACATTTATCTAAATGTAATTTTCACGAAGATCAGGTTTTAATTTAATAGTAGTAAAATAACAAGCACTTCATTAAAGTTAATGCCAGCCTCATTCCGCAGCCCTAAATTTTGGTTGTAGTGACCTCTCATCCCCTGCCCCGTCCAACCCAAAAACGGTATTTTGCTTCGAGACAGTCGGCTTGCTAATGCCAGTCTGAGCTTCGTTTCAGATCCTATTATAGGCAGGCAGGCTCGGCCGACAAAGATGGACATAGAGTGGTGCTTTGGTTAGAGTGATTTTTTGGTCGAGGAGCGCACAGCGGAGCACCGGCTGAAGACACTTCTTCTTTTGCCGCTTGAATTCTATAAGCAAAATGGGCTTTTGTTTGAGGGATTAAAAGAGGGGTGGCTTTTTTTCATTTAGGTCTCGATAGGTTTTAAGAACTGCAAAAGTGTCAGGGGTGGGTGTTTGACCCTAAATCTGTTTGTTGCAGACCCATTGCGCCGGTGGTGCTGGACCAGATCTACAGCAATTTGAAAATTCAAGTTATTAAGGCTGAGAGGAGGGTTTTGAAGGAACTTGGTTTTTGCGTTCACGTCAAACATCCTCATAAGGTAAGTCCGGTTTTTCAAACAAAGTTCTGTACTTAAAAGTTTTTTGTTTTTCACAGATTATTGTGATAAATCTTCAGATGCTGGGATTTGAGAAGAATGAGGAATTCATGCAGTATTCTTGGTAATTGATATTTCATCGCCAAATTTTCACTGTCTTAATTGATTTCTCCAACAGGAACTACATGAATGATTCATTGAGGACTAACGTTTTTGTGCGTTATGACCCAGAGGCAATTGCCTGCGCCTGCATATACTTGTCAGCCAGGAAGCTGAAAATTCCTATGAGCAAGGACCCACCATGGTATGGTATATTCGGTGTCAAGGAGGATGACTTGCTCGACATTTGCTACTCAATTTTGAGGCTCTACAGACGACCAAAGGTTTGTTGTTGTTTTTTATTTGTCTAAAATAATTCTACATAATCTTTTTTCAGGCTATTCCAGACCAGCTGGAGAAAATCGTTTTGGACCTTCAAACAAAATACCAGGAGACCAGGAACAGAGCACGCCAGGCCGGTCTGCTCAACTCCGCCAACAACACTCCAGCTCAAAACAGCTTAAGTCCGTCGACGCCCGCAATAAAGAAGCCACTGCCTGAGGTTTCTCCGAGGTACATCCAACACACCAGCAGGAGAAATTTTCTTCATTTTGATTGGCTTATCTCTAGGTCGAAGGAAACACGCAGGAGCGAGTCTCCGAGTCCTCACAAACACAAGTCAAAGAGCAACAAAAAGCACAGGCATAGCTCGACCTCCCCATCAAGGTCGCGATCGCGTTCCAGAGACCGCAATCGTAAGAAGCTGAAAAGCCGGAACAGAAGCCTTTCCCCGGCATCGCCCACATCCCAGGATTACAAGAGAAGCCATAAGACAAGGTTGGTCACAAATAAATTTGAAGTTTGAATTTTTCTCTAAAATTTTACTTATTCTTCAGGGACAAGCAACGGTACAGGTCACGATCTCGCTCAAGGGACCGCCGTGACAGGTCTCGGTCGCGCTCTTACGACCGATACAAGCATCATGACAAGAGTAAAAAGCACAAGTACAGGGATGAGGGAAGCCGCAAACGCAAGGAGATAAGGCGGTAGGTGAAACTGGTTTTCATCTAATTTGTTTAGAAGAGGATAATGCCAAACATTGGCAATACGAAACTTGATTATTTTTTATCGAAAAGAAGTATTTTAAATAAATAATGAAATGCAAAGAGAAAAAACCTCAGAAAACTTTTAACGTCTTAAAAATTCTGTGACTGGATTGTATAATAAACATCGTGTGAATCGGGTGTGAATTATATCTAAATTGATTAAAAATAAGTTGACCACAGTTGATGAGTTTATTTTCGCTCACTTACAATTAATTCTTATTAGTTAAAACTGATTGCGCTTAAGGAAAATTATAATTTTTTTACTTGGTGTACATTTAAAATTAAAAGTAATTTTTCTTGAAATCAATTTAAGATTGGAAGACTAGATATTTCTTTTGCATGCTGGATTATGATGATCCAAGTGGTGGCAAACTGTACGGAATGTACTCGGGGCAGTGCAGTGATCCAGCATGTCCGAGGAGTGACGGACCTGGTGGCCCAGAGGCGGACGAGACACTATCTGAGCCGGTCGTTTTACCAGCCAATAGCTCAGCCATGAACGAGATGTATGTTATGGCGAGTCGGAGAGTTTCAATGCGAGAAAGACGTTTCTCATATGCAAACGTTGGAACCTTTCTGCGCAGTTTGTCAAACGCTTCGTTCAGGTTAAACATGCGTCGCCTCTCGCGGATATTGGCAGCTCGACGTTGTGCCATCGTGGCCACGCGCCGTCGCGTTTTTTTGGACGAGTGAGAGTTGCCACCTGGGTTTGACGACGCTGAGGGATTTGACGAACTTGAACCACCGCACGAGCGACCACCGTATCTGAAAATTAAATAAGCGAAATGGCAAATTTATTTAAAATTCATTAGTAATCTAATAAAAAATACAATCTTTAAACTCAAGTAGTAAAATGCGATAAACTAAATAAGGTTTAAATGAGAATAAAAAGTGACTAGGAAACATGAAATATGACTAAAGTGAGATTCTCTGCGCTGGACGTGATCTTTTTCACCATTGAAAACTTCTATTTAGTTGTGTCTGTTTGAAATTTTTAAATTATTCATTCTCCATTATACATTATAGACCTATGTGGAAAAATAATACTCATTGTCAGGATGATCAAACGAAAAGTTGATAATAATTTAAAAAAAAGAAGAAGAGACTGTGGAGACCATTTCTTTAAAATTATTTTACTTACAAAATCAAACACATATTAACGAGTTTGACTTTTTTTAATGATCCAAAGACCCAATTGTAAAAATCTGTCTTTTTTACTTATATAGCCGTCTCCCTTTTACTTTTTTCTCTCTCTAAACCACAATGATGGGAATCACAAATTTCTCTGCTAAAACCTATGATCAAATTTTTTTAAATTCTGAAGATACTAAAAATTTGCAATTAAAACATATGTTATCGTATCATTAAATCCATAACAAAGGTCGATATATGCTCACTTAAAATATTTTCAGCAGTTCAAAGAGACACAAGTTTTTAGGGGATGCAATCGCGTACAATAGCGCGAAAATCCTGAATGTTGTACCGCGCATTATCATGAGAAAATAAAAATAACTCAGAAGCAAAAAATGATTTAAATTATTGAAGATTATTAATTTTGGTGTATTTTATATAAAGACTTACCTTGGTGGCGGAGGGGGGTTCACTGCTCGACCCCAAATGTCGCAAGGTAGGCCGTGCAGTCCGGGGTGCGGGGGTTGATGGTGAAATTGGTGGTGAGGGTGCGCCATTTGTAGCGAGTCGCCCCAAACGCTACTCCCATACGGAGGCGGGTTGCTTCCTTTTTAGAAACAAAATACAAATTTTAAAATGAATTGAAAATAATTGTGAAAGGTTTTATTTTCTTACCTGAGGGGGTTGAGTTGGCGGCGTCGCCAGGCGCAGAAATCGCCGCCGCGGCAGCCGCAGCGGCCGCGACAGCGCCGTGGTAAGCGAGCTGCTCGGCGTAATTTAGCTCGGAATTGAGTTCCCAAAGCGAGTCGGCGGCCGCTTGCTGAACGACGCCTGACATTTCGGTATTTCTAAATGGTTCTGTTGAAAAAAATACATATATGCATCAATAAAATGTTTTATAGATAAATAAATTTTAAAATTTCCCTTCAAATCGAAATTGGAACAAAAATTAATTGCGAAAGTTATACTTCAAAAAAGTGTTGTATTTATTGTAAATTTCCCGTTGCTGGTGGATAAAAATTTTTAATAAGTAAGACCCAAACACAGACTTAATCTGTGCACCCAAATTGTTCTCATTGTTTTAATTAGATTGTATCACCTTTTTCTCTATTTTCTATACCTAAATTTATTCTTAAAAGTTAATTTGAAAAGGAATTAAATGGTTGTCTGCAAATGGAGTGCAAGAAGCATTATTCAAAACAACGTTCCAAAAGCACATAAAGTTGTGCATTCAAAATAATGAGTTAATTTTTTTCATTTTAACTCTGATTTTTTTCACTTCACTCTGATTGAACATTTAATTTTAAATGTGAATAAGTGAGGAAAAGTTCATCTGTTGAGTGTGACACATTCAAATTCTCATCTTTTATCCTACTTGAAGTCATATATAAAATATATGACTTTGATTTCCTTTCAATTATTATTTTCATTAAATGTGAATTAAATAAGTAAAAAATCTTTGTAAGGTGACGAATTAAATTGAAAATAAGTACATTTTCTTTGTCGTCGGCGTTAATTAATTAGAACAAATTAAAGAATAAAAAAACTTTCGAAAAGAATCAAATTCAATGAGCAAAAAGAAATAAAATTAATTTAAAAAACTCACCCTGAAAGATCTTCTATGCGGCCAAACAAGCTGGAGGCGCAGGTTGATTTGGCAACGGGACAAGTGCGCGCGGCCGAAGACACCCTTGCCGAGCCAGGGGTGTGGCGATTCACAAGGGGTGGCTTTCTCCATTGGAGACAGAGGGTGCCACCCCGGCCAATCACGGCCGCTGCAGGTGTCATCGCCGTGGCCTCGCCGACGGGGTGCGGGCTCGATATTTTTGCAAGGGATGTAATTTTGGCTGTGAATCGTGCAAAATCAATAGTTCAAAATGAGCATTTTGGCATTGAAAATATTTAAAATATTATTTAATTATTTCAAAATTGATAAAAACCACTAAAATATTTTGTTTATAAACAAAATACTGCAAAATAAAGAGCGATAACTGTTATATAGTTATTTAATTGAATTTTTAAAACCTCTTTTTAAATCTTTTATAAAAATTCAATGAACAATTTTTATTAAAACGTTTTTTTGCTTAATCCATCATCAAAATCCCTCGATGAATTGTGAATGTCGCTTTACTGTCTGTTTCTTATTGTAAGTAAAATTAGTGCAAAAAGAGGTTTTATCGGAGAGAGAAAAATTAATTTCCAATTTGTTTTGGTCAATATACATCTCATCGTCTGCAGATCCAGAGATTTAATAACTTTGAGTAAATCAATCAAATACTGCGGCGTTGACCCATTATAGTCAAATCAAAATTAGTTCCGCAGATTTAGAATAAATAAAAGGGCGCGGATTCTGCTCGGTTTCCCCACGTTCGAACGGAAAATGGAAATGCGCCTCCAAACAAGCTTTGCCCCCGAGAGTCAAAATATTGTTGTATTTAATGCGCTAATCGGCGTGAAAAGGCGCATTGTCGCAGTAGGCATATTGCACGCGAGTGCAGCTGCAGCTGCAGAGAGTGAGACTAGATATTAAATGTCACTCACGAGGGAAAGTAGCTCCTCTCTCTCCTTTTGATCGGCCGCTTCATTTCCATAATTCACTCCGACCGCGTGTAATTAAGTCAAATTCGGCGCGGCCAAAACGACGATCAGACGAGGACCCCTTTATTTCGACCCAGATTTGCGTTTGCCGACTTATGAGCAGCTGCATCGTTGCAGGTGCAGAATTTTTCCCTCACAATCAGAATCAATTCACTTGCTGTTTTGTCCAAAACTCTGCTGTATTTTGAGAAGATTTTTTCCAAACACTTCTGCAAATCAGTGAAACTAATGTGTGTCTTAATTAAATATTATACAATTATATTTTTTCATGCCTTTCATGTTTTCTTTACTGTGTAATTGCAATTCTGATAAAATTTTTAATGTTCTGAATTGTTTCCCAGGGTAAATATTATTTTGAAAAATGTTAGTGATGAAGAGTTAATAAGAAAAAAGAAAATTTCAGTCATTATCGTCATTAACTTTATTTCTGTTTTAAAAATTAAGAATATAACAGATTTTTTTAATTATAAATTACGCAAAGTTATATCAAAGTGAATTTTATAAAAATGCACTTGCATTGGTTCCTCTCTTTATTTCTTAATTATTGTAAAGTTTCCGTGTTTATCGGTTTTTCCTATTTTTTGTTTCTCTTTTCCACACAAGTAAGCCTTTTTTTAGCAATGCAAATAATTAATAGGATTCGAACAAAATACTTGCAATTTGATCCGCGTGGGAGAATAAAATGATAGGTAATAATCATAAAAATAACAGTATGGGCTCAATTAAAAAAATAATAATTGGCAAAAACAAAGTAATATGTGATTTGTATTGTACGCTTTGTTCTTGCAAAAAAGAAATTAATCATTCTTAATTATGTATTCTTATTACAAAGTTTCCTACGGTCTTTACCATGCTTTTTTTTCAATCCAAAACGCAAAGCGGGACTTAACATGTAAACAAGCAGGGAGTGCAGATTAAAAAATTAACTTTGTTGCTCTCACGAGAGTCAATTTCAAAGCCGCCGCCGCTTAATAATTTTAATCCGAAGTGCCCACACGCGACTCATATCAACAATGAAGTGCCGCGTCGCTTGTTGGCAAGTGAAAAAAAAACTGGGGAGCATAAATGAAATGATATACATAACGCGCGCTGAATAGAGATTTTCCACTGCGGGAGAATTCGTTCCGAAGAGCGCAGAGAGTGACGAGTTCGCGCCCCCTCAAAGGCTGATTTCACGCGTGACAGTTAGTATAATGAGGGGTTGCATATTGCTCTAATTGAGCCGCCCACCCCAAACAAAATAATATATCAATTTGCTCCGTTTTTATTAAAAATACAAATCTAGTTTAGAGAGACATTGTTTTGTATAATAGATGAAGCCAAAAAATGTTGATAATCAACAAAAACCAAATCACTGGAATGTGAAAATAAAAATGAAAGATGATTACAAATTTGAAATATAAATAAGAATTTAAAAACTGTAAAAAAACTTGTAGCCTAAAGGTGAACTCAAAAAATAAGTGCAATCAAATTGTAACAAATGATAATTTTTTCCAAAGCGATTGCAAAATGGAAAAAAAAATAGAAGATCATCTTGATTCAAGATTTCCCATTAAGTACTTTGCACTGTTATTTAAATTTTGCTGGTTAATCATTTTCGTGCATTTGGCTTAAAATTGAATTAAAAATATTTAAGAAATTGTTGATTTGATAAATTGATGGCCCTTTCCTGCAGCTCCTTATCAGCTTCCTATCTGAACGTATATTTTTTGTTCGAGTAAATAATGAAAATAGTGAGAACTTTGATGTCAATTCTGGTGTTCCTCAAGGCTCAATTCTGGGCCCAATTTTGTTCCTATTGTTTATTAATGATCTCGTCCCGCTATTGAAAAGATGTGTAATTTTTGTTTTTGCTGACGACATAGTTATTTTATTTGCCCATGAAAATTTTGCTATTTGTCATGATGTGATTCAATCTGAGTTTAATATTATAACTGAATGGTGTCATGATAATGGTTTGATGATAAATGAGAAAAAAACTGTTAGTTTGCACTTTTGCAGCCCAAATATTAGACTTGAGAACAAATTAAAAATTACTTGCCACGAGTACACATGTTTGCATAATTTTTCGATCGGCTGTAAATGTGGAGCTTTAACGCAAGTTGAAAAAACTAAATATCTTGGTCTGCACTTGGACCAAGATTTTTCGTGGAAATACCATCTGCAACACATTTCCAGCAAGTTGAGAAATATTATTCGAGAGTTCAATTTTATAAAAGCGCACCTCAATCACTCTACACGCAGAGTTATGTATTTCTCACTCGCACACTCGTATCTGAACTATGGAATTCCCGCATGGGGTTCCGCCAATTTAACTTCTCTGCGACAGTTACAAGAACGAGTTTTGTATAAAATGTGCACTCGCAAGCAAAAACAATCGATTGAAAACTTGTTTAAATTTTGGAACATATTGCCAGTTGATAAAATATATGAATTGAATGTACATTGTCTGAAATATTTTGACGAGAACCGTGGCGTGCCAAGAATCCACCAGTATGAAACGCGAATGTCTCGACTTGAACCGCTCATTATGCCACCGAGTGTAAATAAATTCACCGATCGCACATTTGAATATATCTATCCGAGATTGTGGAATGTTTTGCCACAAAATCTAAAAAATCTGCGCTCTAAAAATGATGTCAAATTTCAAATTAAAAAATTGTTTCTTTCGCTGTTGTAATTTATTCATAAAATATTATTTTTGTAAAAACTCGCATGTAAAAATATGTGAATAGAGCTGAAGTGCTTGGCTTTCAGCCTTGCGCTTTAGTCGCATAAGCACCGGCCGATAACTCCGATTGGAGTTGGCCGGACTTGTAATTTTCTTTTCAAATAAATATAATTTATTAAAAAAAAAAAAAAATAATAAAACCAAATAAAAAACTGCAAAAAGTAAAAATTATCCTTCTTTGGAATATATAAAGAACGAACGTTTATTTCTCACTCTCTCCAACTTATACATCATCGGGGGTAAAATTTTCATCCCTGATCTGCAGATGTGAGTGCCATCTGTGCAGCGGGTTGCCTACCCTCGTCTTGCGGGGGCGTTTAGAGGGTGATGTGCTCTCGCATTTTGGTTCATGCATTTGTATAACTTGACGTCAACGGCGGCGCGTCCTGCGGATCAATATGCGCCGCGCGCACCAAACAAAGTGCCACGTGACCGCGACAGGCGTGCGCCCTTTGCCTTTCTCGGAGCAGCGCACAGTGGAGAACCGATCGACGCGGCGGTGGTGCTCGCTCTGTTCCTGCTTGCAAGAGATCAACTGCGGGCGGGAGGCTCTGCGGCCTGTACCAGGGAGACTCTCAGCTGCCACAGGTGTCCGCCGGCCAAGCTCCCGAGAAGATCCGGACGTCTGACAGGTGAGCTGCCCTCGACTTTCCCAAAACGCTGCCGTATCAATTTTCCACGAGTTTCCGGCTTTTCGCTATTTTATGAGATTTCAAGTCACTCACACCAGAGAGTGATGATAATGGGGGTTTTGCTTTTACTGCGCGTTCAATAAATCCCAATCCTCAGATAGGAGAGGTTCATTTCTTTCGAGCGGAAAAAATTTATAAAATAAAATACTTGACAGAAAATAATAACTTTTTGAAAATTAAGAAGAACAATAATTTTACATTTACAATATTTTTATAATTTTGTGTGATTAAATATTTAATTTTTCAACCTAAAACCTCAATATTTATTTGAAACTCAAATCGCGCTACTCGTCGTGCATAATTTGCAAAAAATTATAGGCAGACAAAGAGCAAAATGATGCACACTGAGGCTGCAGCTCTGTTTCCTATCGCAATGACCTGAATATTTTTCCACACACAAACACACGCTTCGCAAGTCATGGTCGGATGTCCACGAAACGGTTTAATTTTTTTAGAAGAACAATAAAATGAATCTTGTTTTGCGCCTTCTCATGATATTTATTTTTTAAACGTCAATAAGAATGTCACAAATTATATGAAAGAGAAGTAAATTCATCAATTATTTTATTTATTATTATATTAAAAAGTATTGTGCATTTTTTTAAATAGCAACAAGCAACAAGATAAAGAACTCT